ATGACACAATAAACTGAGGAACATTACATTTTTATTTTCTGTTTTCCATGTTTAGTGCTCTTATTTTGCTGCACCAAATGCTGAAATACTCATTATGAGGAGAAGTCCACATATGCTTTTAATGTCTGTCTGTAGTAATTTGGTAATTTGTAGTAATTTGTTGTAATTTAACTCAGCCATTTGATTCAGGTGTGTTGGACCAAGAGTGAATCTAAAAGTTGCAGGATAATGGCCGCCAGGAAACTGGAATTGCCCACAATCTCTGAATGGACGTTTAATTACATATTAGTGGAACTGTATATATATTTAATCTTGAAACTTTATGGATTGATAAAAAGATCTGCTTTAGATTCAAACTTTCTGACATTTTTTCCTTTAAAAGCACAGGTCGTCTTTGTTGCATCTCCCCAAACTGTCCTTTAGTTTCTCTGTCTAGCAGTGATCCTTATCTTTATCTCCTGAATCCCACCATTGTTCCTACATTTTCCTCATTTCTGTACACTAGTAGAGCACTGAGTAGCTCTCTTGAAATAACTGACCAACTTTTTTCAGACGAGAAGAACGGCCAGGTGCCCCATGCAGTCGGCATGCTCACCAAACACTGCCCCTCTCCTATGCAAGTTCGGAGGCACCAGTCAGAAAACAATGACGCCAAATTTCCAGCTGCAGGCCGAGACAGAGCCAAGCTGTCTTTAGCGTCTGTGGGGTCAGAGGAAGAGTCTTAGACAGAGATTTTTTAGATGAATCAAATCAAAATCAAGCAAAGAGAGAACATTTAATTAAGTGATAATTGGAAAAAAATATATATTCCTTAAAAGATAAAAAAAAAAAAATACTGCAGCTCCATAACACATGCACATTTAAATAGCTTCCCAGTTTTCATTTTCCTTCATTTTCCACAGTCATTAACACTCCCTCCACCCAACCCACCAAGTCCCCTTTGTCCTATGCTTATTGTTGGTCTTCCTTGCTGCTGTTAACCTCTGTAATGTCCTGACTTGTTTTTAACACCAGGAATTATCCAGAAAACCTATTAAAGTCCCTCCTCGCGCTCCATGCTCCTATCGCCCTCCCTCAACTACCCTCCATCCACCCCTTTCGAATGTGCCAAGAGTTTCGGACAGGTGTCAGTGGAGGATTCCTTTCCGAGACGTGCCGAAAACAGACTTCCACCTTCAACTGCTCTCCAACTCCACCTCTGGCACCCGTCAGTAGAAGTAGATGAAAATCCTTGCGCATTTTCACCTTACTTAATCATGCACTCCAGACATCAGTTCCTTGATTTTTTTAAGGGATTTTTCTTTATTCTATATTATTGGAAATAAAGCACTGATCAAAAACACAAGATACAACATACAAAAATCATGCACAAAAAAACTCTGGGATGTACTCGTATTAACTTTAATAACATAAAAAAATATATTAAAGACTTTTTGAAATGTTAGGAGGAGGGAAGAGAAGAGGATGTGTTGTGAAAAGCCCAAACAACCAACACAGGCACTTGCCGGATTGTATTCGATTTCTTTTTATTGTACTTTGTGATGAACTAGGTTTGATTTCTGAATTTTACAAGACTTGATACTATTGCTGCAAAATGGACTGAAATTCTGATTTCAGAGAGGATGGGGCTGTTAGCCGAACCGGCCAAAGGGAGGATGGGGAGATCAAATGAAAGTATGGGGGGGTTGCAGGGAGGGTTATGTGGGTATTTAAAATGAATGATCTATTCTCTTGTACAAACTGAAAGCATTTTTAATGTAAAAAAAAGAAAAAAAGTAATGCCTAGTTGTGACACTGTTGGATATCATAGAAACAGGCAAATGAAGCTACGCCTGTTCATTCTCTCATTTTGAATTCTGTGTATTTCTGTTTCCTTGTCTGATCGACCAGGAAATGATCCGAACGTTCCCAGTTCTCTGCAGCACTTTCTTTGATTTTCCATTTGTACCTCTCTCTTAGTCTCCAATACCAGCAGTAGGAGTAGAGGAACAAAGAAAAAAAATGTGATAAATGCAATTGTGAATATTTTTGTATTGTCGTATTTATTTATTCATATTTGTTCATCTCACTGTTTGATTCCTAATTTATTATAACTTGGCTATTTATATGAACAAAGCTGTTAGGTCAGTTGAATGTTATTTACTACCCTCTTGTGTGTTTGTAAATGGGACATTTAAAGGAAAAAAAAAAAGCTTGGATTTATTTTATTTGTTTTTGGTCCAATTTAAACTAAAATATGTGAACTTTGACAAATTTCCAGACCTCGATTAAGAGGAAATAAGAACTTGTAGGAACTCTGGAAAGAGAATGATTTTACCAGTAATTTAAGAATGTAGACTTAGCCTCTTTTTGAAGAGGGAACATGCTCTTCTATTGATATTTGTCAGTTTCATATTATCGTGCGTTGTATGCCAGGCCTGAGGAGGAGAACTCAGCAGATCTGTTTCTTCTCTTTGTAAATAGACAGACAAGCTGTGGGGGTTGATTGTCTTCTCAACCATGCTGGGGATTCCTGCTCTATGCTTTTTTGCTTGTATTGCTGTGTGCATGTCAAACAGGAGCTTTTCTTTGCATGGCTTTAGTGTTTAATGTTCCATGCCAAACTCACCCCTTTTACCAGCCTTCATTGATCCCGCCCCCACCTACAGTACTGTATTTTAAAGTTGAAATTCCCTTCTCTCTGCTTTTAATTCTGGCCTTTTATTTGTTTTTGTTTTTTTTGTTTTGTTTTTTTCACTTTCCTCCCAGTCCTGCTGACTTTGTTTTTCTTCCTTCAGCTTGTGCACAAAGTTTTTCAACAATGCTTCCTTTACACTGTACCTCTCCGTAGAAAGCTCAGAGGTCTGGGCTCTCTGCCTGTTGGTTGCAGAGGCACAGGGAGGGAATACCACTACTACAAAATCAAAGCAATACCTGATATCCCCCTCCTCTTTGTTTTCTACAATAGGAAGCAGACGGCACAGAGGAGAAATATTGGCCCAATGGGGTCTTTTGTTGGTTTTTTTTTGTTTTGCTTTTTGACAGAGCAGGAGCAAAGCTTACTGATGTAATCCCCATTCTAAATAACTGTGAGCATTTTCAGTGCTGAAACAATAAACTCATTCAGTTATGTTGTGTTCGTTTCACTTCTTCAGTTCTGTGTATCTTGGTGCAGCCCCAACAATAGTAGTGGATACTTAAGGTGGAAATGAAAAGTTCAACCAAACTAAGTAAAAAAAAAAGAAATTTAATTATTTTTGGTTGTTGGTTTTGGCAAAAATGTTTCTTTCTTGTATACAAATAAATTCAATATACATACAATATGTGTTGGCTATATTATAAAACATTTAAAAGGTTTTTGACCTTGAGAAACTGCTGTATTTTTTTATTATTCTTAACACAACCACATACAGATGGTAAATTTCAATGAAAAGGCGTAATCTGTTTAGTTGTCTCTCCAGTCTTTAGTTCTCAGCTTATGATGTTTAAATATCTCTCGTCAGATCATTCTTGGGATCCAAATAAGTTCCCAGGCCCCATGACTTATTTGTGTGTACCTGGTTCATCTAATTAACATTTATTGTTTACAGCTGGAGAAAATCATGGATGTAGCACTGCTGAAGAGATTTGTTAGCCTAGCATGGCTTAGCGATTCAATGGGCTTTGATTGCTTTCATACTTTAAGTACGATGACTAATCTTTTGAAAATTTGAGGTTGGCTGTGTAGATTTGCTGGCCAAACAAGCAGTTATTAAACCTGTACATTTTACTAAGTGCTCAGCGGATGGAGATATGGAGGTGGGACATTGATTGCCAATCTTAACACCAAGTTTACTTTAGTAGTTTCTATTCAGTGTATGCGAGTTGTTCTCACTTATTAAAGCTTCCTCCAGCTGTACATCAACATTAACTCTTGGGTTGACGGGTCTCTATGTTGTCCCTAGGCTGTGTTTGCGCATGGTGGTTTTCTGTATTTTTTCCTGTTTATAGACTGTCTAGGGTCACACTACCTTGCCTTTTGCCCAATTACTGCTGGAGACGGCCCTCTGCAATGAAATGTAGGTATAGATAATAGTTTATTATTGATTTAGTGAAACATTTCTTGAGACATGCCTGCTTAGCCAGGTCCAGCAATGGAGAACTAAGAGCTCATTCATTTAAAATGTGTTCATTGTGTGGTTTTACTTCCAGTCTATCATATCTGTGAATATTCTAAATCATCCAGGTCATGTTCAAGCTTGACAAATTCAGTTCAGGAAATAGGATGTGAAGTTTTCTAGAAGATAATTTGCTTCTCATCCAAGAGGCTTTTTCAGTTCTGATGGCGGGGAGTTCTGAGATAAATATACTGAGTTAATGTCTTCTTGAAAACTTCACATCCAGTTGCCAAGACAGAAATCTGGTTATCAACTTGCTAACACTTTGACTGATCGTGGATCTGTGAATGCAGTTAGCAGACCAATCGCAATCATGAGCGCAGAAGGGAGAGTGCTGTACTTCTCCTGAGAGGAACAAAAACTAATCTTACAGAAATATGAAGGGGGGGGGGGGGGGGGGAACGGGCGGCCCATGAAAACCTGTATCGCTCATATAAGTAACTGTCGTGAAGTTGCAAAGGATCTTCTCCCAATTTGTGCTCTTTTTGGTTTATAGGGGATTCTATTCATTTTAAAGGAGAAAAAAACTGAACAGTAAAAGGTTACTATGTCAAAAAATAAATTAAAAATTTTTTCACTTTTTTTTTTTACTTGTTTTTTTGATTTCAAAATGTTTTATTGTGAAGTTTTAGTTCTATTTGCGCCCTCAAGTAAATCTGGCTTTAAATAACGGGACATGTCCCTGTGTCCCAACAAGCTGATTGGCTGTTTTGGATACTGTGTGTAACGTACTGTGAGCAGGTTTGCAGCTCACAGTATGTTATCATGGTGACTAGCAGCTAAGAATGAATCCAGGTTTGTGGTACCAGAAAGTCGGGGTTAAACCTGAAGTTGTCTTGCTTCCCCAGTAATCCTGCATTGTGATAGAGGCCTCAGCTTTTATTTTTTTTTTTTTTAAAGAGAATACCAGACAACATGCAAACAAACATGGTTCCAGTCAAAACCGTGGTTTATTTACGCAAATCAGCATCTAAACAGTCATGTGTTTCAAATCCTTCTGTTTTGGCTGTAGATATGTTAAACATAAAGATATTAGCATATTAATATGCCTGCATAAACAGCTGTAGCATTTTTTAAAATATTAGCTTGAAATAAAAATGACATAAAAAAGGGTACACCCCATTAAATACTTTCACATCTTTTTTTTTCTCATTAAATAGACAATGTCCATCCCACTTAGCAGAAAATGTCTCTGCTCATACTTTATTTAAAAAACAGTCAATATAAAAGAGCAATTCTTGAATAAGAATGGACTGAGTCCTCCTCCCACTGCATTTTCAGTCTAGGATCACTGTATAGCTTTAGTTAAGCTCTAGGGGGCGCTGCAAATCCCATTCTTCAGGCAATCCTTTATGCAGGCCTTTAAAGCTGTCCACTAGGTGGCAGCAGTGTTCTGTCATTTAAGAGGCCTCTCCATTTAGGCTTCCTGAGCCTTGGAGAAAAGCAAAAACAGAACCACCTTTCTATAAATGTACTGTTCCCATCACAGTAACTACCTTTATGGGATGCTTGGCACACATAAATATATTCAGCCACTGATCTGTACCTCCGTGTCAGGAGTTCTGTTTAACCTGCCCTGGGATGTAGCCCCTACAGATCCGACTGTATTTACAATAAACCTTCCTCTGCAACTTTCACATGCTTCTGTTACTTGTCTGCATCTTGTTTCATTACAGCAGTTCATATCTTCAGACTTGAGATGATATGTAAAGCGAGCGTAGACGCTGAGCCAGAATGGCCTCCAGCTCTGGCAGAGGTGAGTCACTGCGGCTGTGAGCCAGCGAAGTGCAGTTATTCCCTTGTCGAGCTCCGAGGGTTCCCAGTAAAAGGGTCCTGAAGCCTTCCTTTTCCAGGAGTGCCGGCATCTGCTGCAGGAAGAAACTCTCACAAAAGGCCCTAAGCTCCACTGAACCGTTTGTCTGTTGAAGAGAAATAGGCATTTTTTACTTGGTCATAAAATACAGATTAAGTTACACAAGAACAGCATATAGGAAAAGACTTTACCTCAGCCGTCTTGTAGATGTTTACTGCGTTGTCGAGGTTTATGTGCTGAGAGCAGAGGAGCTCACAGTGTCTTTGTAGCACCACCAGCTGGAACTGATTAGCAGCTGACAAAAGCTAAAAGAGAAAAACAAAAAAAAAGTGATCCACCATTGCTTATGATCTAATATTCTTTTTTTATTATGCACCCCTATCAGGAGGTTGCAAACACTGAGTAGTTTCAACCTTTATTAGAATCAGCACATTCTTCATAGTGATGCAAAATCAACATGTTTGGATGATTAAAGTGATTTGAAGCCTATTTAACAGTTTTCCAGTTCTAGTGCGAATGATGAGGAAGTGTCAACTAAATCAATTCCACAGAATTGCGTGTGTTTGCATGCCCCAAGATGCAGGATTACAAAGAGCTGTTGCTGCCTCAGGCTGTTTCAGTAGCACCCAGAGATTTAGATCACACTTATCAAAGACTTGTGAGCTTCCCACCTAGTTAGTATGACTATTTATACACAGAGAGGTGCCATTACCCTTAAATACAACAAACACAAAATACTTCCTTGTCTGTTTTTTAATAAGCAAAAATCAGAAGCCAGTGTGACATGGCTATATGAGGTGTAGGATAGAGCTATTCATCATTTAAATTTGCTCCCTCTTTAGTTTGTTTTTGGTGAGATAAACTGGTTTAAACAACCTACACATTACTTGTACTCTGATCAAAGTGCTGTGGAATTACTAATATGAAAAAAAAAGTTACAGTAAAACTGAAACACTTAGCTTAATATCAACTTAACTGCTGCAAATATGGTATATTCTCAGGTTTAATATTTACAGCCTGATTGATTAAACTGAACAAAACTGGTTTGATCCATTCAGATATAGTTAAACTTTGACCAAATATCAGGCATCCTTTTACCTAATGACCCATACCATAAAGCGCTGTAATCACACTGTGCATAAATTTGTTTTTAGAAGAACATATTTCTCCTTCTAGTTAAAAAAAAAACCAGTTAAAAAACAATCAGCCGTTCTCACCTCTAGTAAGTCCTGCACGTTTGTTTTCAGAGACTCTGTTCCTCCACAGTAGAGGTAAGACATCATCATCTGCAGAGAGGTCAAATTTCCATTCTTGACTTATATATTTATAGAATTATTTTGACATATACAAATAAAAAGATGTTACATTCATTAAATTTAGATAAAATGTAAACATTTATGTTTTCTGGCCCTCAGAAAAAGGTTGGGAAACACCAAATTTTAGCTAGACGAATGATGGAACTTCCATGAGACAGTTCTTGGAGTTATCGACCACTGGCATCAGTCTGAGGGGTTGACTGCATTTAAACCCCAAATAAAGTTACAGCATCTCATTAAAATCTAGACCAACGATTTCCCAGTTCTTAATTTCCATTCCAACCTTCCGATTTGGGGGATTTTCTAGGGTATTGTCTAGGGTACTTAATCATGTGGCAGGTTGCTGATGGTCTTTTTTTTTCAGTGACTTATTAGATGCTAAAATTCATGGTTTTATGACTGAGCTGGCCAGATGTTGCTGACATAAATGAATGAGATTCCTCCAATAGAAAGCTGCATTTTCTTTATTCCGTACATGTTCTGGTATCCAGATAATAACACTGTAGTAGAGAGTCCTCATGTTTGACATAACTGTATACTAAATGTTCTTCATACCTGGAAAATGTGGTATTTGACATCACTGATCTCAATTTCTTTGCCTGGTCTTCCATCTGACACCAGCAGAGATTTGAATCTGGAGTGGAAAAAAGTTATTTTAAAGTACTATTGGATAAGTCCCTTTGCAGGAAATTAATTCCATTCTGTTCTACCAGGTAACCCATATCTAAAAAAAAATAGGTTAAAGACCGTTTAAAATGAACTTTATCATTTTTCCTTTCTTAAAAACACCTTTTACACAGACTGCACTTAAATATCAGAAAAGCTACATAACATTTTTTTATTATAGTCTAATTACCTGTTTATAGTGGCATGAAACCTCAGTCTCAAAAATCTTTTTGTATTTTCTACAATTACTCCTCATCTGCAGAGTGAAGTGTGATTGCTTACTTGTCAGAGGCAGTTATCAGAAGAACTTTGTGTCCGTAAAATGGTTTCCCCTCCACCAAAAATGTCACATCTGACATGTCTGGGTTGTTCAAAAAGAGTGGATCTGTTTAAAAAAAAAAAAACTGGGTTTTGGTTTTTTTTTTATTTATAAACTCTACTTTTATTTACTGTAACTAATCATTTTAAAAGGTAAAACTGGCTCAGATTTCAGGGTAGTAAATCCTTCAATCAATGTAAAAATAGCAGCTTTTTACAGTTCTGGGATCTATGTTTGAAATCTATATTTTTATAGCTTTAGGACAGAGAACACATTGATTCATGCACACAGAAATCAAACTCTTCTTACCCAACTGAGCTGAAAGAGATGCCTTCATCTCAGGAATGGCTGGAAGTGGTGCAGAGCCAAAACAATGGCTAAAAATAGCTGCCAGCTGCTGTATAATGGCATCATTCTGAAAGAAAGTAGTAGAGGGAAGCATTTTTTTTTCTCTTATTCCAATGACCAAAAAGTGCTAAACATGACAGGCTTCATGCTAGGTGATACCTTGGTGGTTCGGAGGATAGTGAACATAAGTGGTAGGCCAGTGGTGACGAGTTCATCGCAGTAGTCCTCCTCTCGGATTGTGGTAAATTCTTTAAGAAGAGAGAGGGTGGCGCCTGTCCTGGACTGCTGATGAGTGCAGCGAAGAGATTCCAGCCAAACGTGAAGTTTCCAAGGTACACCTGATTAAACAGAAGTTTTAGCGGTTTTGGATACACAAAAAACAAACAAAAAAAGACTAAAAACCTTGTGGTCTATTTGCTATCTCAAAGGTACCCATTGCATGAAGCTCCATGGTGACATCAAGATAGCCGTGCTCAGCACTGTAGTAGCTGGCTTCTTGCAGAGCCTTCATCCTGGCTTTGCTGAGCTTGGGTATGGCAGCATCCTGCAGTGCTGGAGTGCCATTGGAAGGAGCTGAAAGATAAGGACACATCCCTGGAACTTCTTCCTCCACTCCCTCAGCTAGGATCTCCTCCAGAGACAGGACATCCTCTTTGATTTGCTGGGGCTGAGTCAGTAGCTTCCTAAGCACGTTTCTGACAAGACAATAGAGAGGGAAGGGGGGGGCAAGGAGAAGGAAACGGAAGGCACTGAATTAATTATCTATGCTCCAATGGTAACACATACTTTAATTTCTGTGACTCTTTAATCTCCCTGTGATTAAATAATCCATCACCCTTTGTGTGAAATGTTGAGTCAACATTATATTATGAACAAACTATAAGATCACTCTACCAGTTTTTATTTAGAAACTAATGGACAACTAAACCATGTCCTCACTTTGCACGCCAAAGGTTTGTCCTCACTTTACTTTTTTTTAAAATAATATTACAATAATTACACATATATAAAAAAATGTTTTAGTTCATTTTCATATTTATGGTTTCCATCAAAGAAAAGATAAATCAGTATGAAAAATAAATAAATACTGCAGAAATGCACAAAGTCATGATGTTGACCTAGAGTTTTAAAGTTATCAAAGAGAACTGTATCCAAGCACAATAAAGGAAAGTTAAGTGGAAAGAAAATATGTGAAAAGTATTTTTAAGGTGAGCTAATTTTTGGTTTTCATAAGCTTATTAACAGAGAGAGGCCTTCTAATTTATCATATACAAGTTTTTGTTATGCATTTAAGTTTTTAAACAGATTAACTTAATATCCATATTTCTAAAAGGTTTTAGAAACTCAAAATCTCTTCAGTCCAAAAATAATGAATTTTGATTTATTCTTTGAGGTTTTCTTTAAATATAAGTCCTTAATATGTGAGCAGAGCCTCTATGGTTTACATAAGACCCACCTGTGTCCATGTGCAGCAGCATGACTGAAACAGTTCATGTCTTCATAAAGGGATGAAGTCAGAGCATTTCCATCATGGTTCTTTGATAAGGGGTCACCTCCACGTGCCAGGAGCAACGTCACCATCTCATAGTTACCTGAGAAGCACAAAATCAAAGATCAAACTCTTGGATAACATTAAAGTTTTTCTTGAATATCTGATTTACATCTTTTTGTATATCAATTTATGCAAAGTACATTTTACTGAAGATCAATTGAAGATTATCGGTTAACATTACAGCCAGAAACCAGCAGCACATTCACATCAAGCCGTTTGCGCTCTGTCAGTAGGACTATGTGGACTGGGTGTCATTTACTGTGACTTTAAAGTGGATCCCATGGAGGAATGTGTCCCAGAGGGGACTAAATTACTGCAGGCAGTACTTCTTCATTCACCACACCTTCATTTCACACCCTCCACCAATTACCTCTGCGCATTCACAACTTGGTGGTCTATGGGAAACTTGTATTGTGTGATATAAGTTACAAACCAGTTGCTATCAGTAGTTTTCCAGTAAAACAAACACTTTATTTATCCATCTTTCTTTTCGTCAACTGTTCTGCCTGTCGTTTAATAGGGTAGTGGTTTACTAATGAGTTAAATGAAAAAACAAACCAACTTTTTGTGAGCCCCCGTCTAACATGAGCTATGCTCTGAGCTGAAACGTCTGCCTTTACCCACCTGCTGCAGATGCCAGCTGCAGCGGAGTGTCTGCTGTGGCCTCCTGTCCATTTCGGACTGCTGCTCCCTCCACATTGGCTCCTGCATCCAACAGAAGCTGCAGACAAACGCATCCATTTTAATAAGCAGGTCTGAAATCCTTTATCTTTTCCATTATTGAATTCAGACCATAAGTCAGAACTATGTATTATATTACACCCACAGTATGTTTACAACAAACTTTCAAATCAACCAGTACACAAAGCCATGTCAGTCTGGTCCTCAAGTCACACATGCTTTTTTAGTCTAGTTGTTTTCTTGCTGCAGGAAACCAAATCCATAGCTCAAATACCATTCATTCTATAAAAGACTTTTAAATTAATAAGTTTGATACAAGGAATATGAATATGGCAACACAGGCACTGCAAAATAATGTATTCGGTATGCAGCATACATGCAGTGATACTATAGTACATTGTAGTTTACTGTCAATCAAACTTGGCACATGGAGGATCTGGTATGTTACCTCACTAACTAGGAACTTTTTGTTGATTTACCTATTATTTAACCAATATCTAAATGCGGGACATTTACAGATGATACGTCTGATAACGTTAATTTGGAGTACAACACAATTTGGGTGTTTTTCTTTACAAATAGGAATTGTTAGTGTTGGTAAATTACAAAGCTGAACAAGTTAAGTTTGTTCTTTTCTCTGTCATTTAAATGAACTTTTTGTTGTTACTTAAAGGTCAGCTCACCCCTAAATGATTTCTCTTTACTAATAAGCTGTAGAAATAGCTACTGTCTACAGCACTATAAGAGGCATCCTTTTGAGGATATCCTGCATGTTTGTTGCAATCTTTTTTTTTTTTATTCACTAAACCCATCTGTTTTTCTCCTCCCTCAGGTTTAAACAGGGTTACTGGCATCTGACGTCAGCAACTGTGCAGGGGTATGAAAAACAGCTTTGTTTATATAAAAAAACTAAACAAAAGCAATTCCCCTGTCTTAAGCAAAAAGAGTGGAGAGAAAAATAGCTTCACTATAGTACTCTAGTTTGCTTTGAAGGTGAGAGATTCTAGTTCCACAGGGGATTTAACTATTGGTTTTATTCTTTTGGGCTTACATCTGAATGGATGAATGCAAAAAAAAAAAAAAATGCTGTTGATAATTTCTATGGCAACATAATATTAAAGGGGGGTAAAACAATTATCTACATTTAATATGGTAATACTAAAGATACTAAAATAAATGTACATCTTTATTTCCTACCTGCACTACAGGAATGTGTCCATGCAACACTGCAAAGGTGAGAGCTGTCCAGTGTCGACTGTCAGGATGCACAGAAGGATGCTTTGGAGAGCAATGTGGAACCTGCAGAGACAGAACAGATTAGACGAGTACATTAATACTTTCAATATCAAGCCAAAAATAATGTTTATGAAGAGGATTGAGATTTTTTATTTATACAAATAAAACTATATAATGTATACATGTATTTGAAGTGTAAATATTGAGGGAATCCATTCTGTATTTACCGCCACATCGAGGTTGGCTCCAGCATCAATCAGCATCTGAACAAGGGCCTCATCTCCAGCTGCACAGGCATACATCAGTGGAGTCATACCCTGGGCGACAGGAATCCAAGATATCATAAACTGATAATTTACCATACAATCAGGTTTGATTTCTTTTCTTTGTGTGAGATTACTTTGGATTTGATGAAAATTGATACATTTTTGTATAACTTTCAAGTCTCCTGTTTTGGCCAAAAAACTACCATGTTTTATTCCTCTTTCCCGCAGTTGTCCCGTATCAGAAGTCCCCAATAAATTTCTATACTTACATATAAAATACTTAACATAAAAATCAAAAAACCTTGATCTGCCTCTTCAAATGGAACTGTTAGCAAGCTTTGCAAGTCAAAGTTGGATCGCCTAAATTTAGTTGGCAATTGGTTTTTCTAGATTTTCATGTGAACATTATCTAAAATATAATGGATACTGGGGCTTGAGAGAGATAGACGGATGGCTTGCAGGGGACGTTTTGAAATTTCCCTTATTTTCAAATCCAAAACTTGATATCTATGCTTGTGTAAAGAATGTTTGAGTAAAAGCTGCTGACTCGTCTGAAGATTTACCCCGCCCTTATCCACAAATATTAACAAATAATTTAAGTTACTGTACTCATGGTATATGCTTATAGGCCTGTTCAAATTAATGCATTTATATTAGCAGTACCTGGTCATCCATGCTGTTGACTCCATCTGGCCCGAGTAGATCAATGGCTTGACCAATGAGATCTGTGCGTCCGCAGTTAAGCATCCGGAAACCCAAATCCAGGTTAAACTTATCTATGGCCGCTTTGGAGTCCAGACGCTTAAAGGAGCTAAAGCAACACTCAGGCCTTAAAAGGAAGAAAAAAAAAATATTTTTTTTCTTCTTAAAGAGGATCATTTGAAAAATATACAATTTTACACTTTGTGCAAAGCTTTTCTTTGTAATCTCATGCAGACATGATATAGCTTGCATTGCTTTTATTCCCAGAAATAGCTGTAAAATAACACTGCAGACAGTGAGTAGTCATCCAGAAGCATTATAAATATTTAAAAAAAAATGTTTTCCACTCTCCAATCAGAACTTGCATAAAAAATTTGGTTAATTTAAAGCCAACAACTTTTTTTTACAATTACGTGTTGCGTATCGACTTACTTCAGTTGTCTTGGCTCACAGTCAAGTCCTGGAAGTAGAAGCCTAGCGCTCTGTCGAACATCGTCACTGTCCACCAACAGACTCTTGCGATGCTCGGCATGAACTATGGCAACTCTCATCCACTCCATCAAAGGGGGCAACAGCATAAATGGCCTAAAGGAAGAGGACAATAAAGCACCTTTTTATGCTATGTTTGTTAATATTCTAGTAACAACTGGACTAGATACAGTTGATTCTTTCATATCTCTACACATTACAGAGGAAACAAAAATTACAGCATCAATTCATTTTGTGATAGAAGAGTCAAAGCCATGTACCTGACTCAATTTTCAAATATAATTATTAATTAATGTATTTTTTTTTTTTTTTGGATGTCCAAAGCTTCGATTAGCTCCACACTGGCCTCTCCTCACCAGGTCTGTTTTCTTTGAAATTGAAATAATAAATAAGGGTATCCATATTTTTACATTAATCTTAAGTTGAAATTTACCAAGGTTAAAAAATGAACTATTTCTTCATTTAATGCATTATGGAGGAAAAAGGGGTGGGCTACAAATTTTGAATAATGGTAAATTAATAGGAGTAGGTGGAGTCAGTTTTGATTAATTGGTGCTTTTTTCAAGTGAGTCCTGGAGAGAAATATCAGCCGCTGCCATCAGCACCTTATTTATATATGATAGAGTTGGGCCTGTTTTTCAGTCTTTAGTCCTGTTTCTTTCTAGACACAATTTCGGGCTCAGCTTTTATTGGGACTGACTGTATGTGCTTTCTTTTTTCCCTTTGACATGAAAACTGTTTCTCTCCTCGATAGATCCCACTGTGGAGCTACTTTATGTTACCTTTTCTAACATGGTAAGTGTAGGGAGTTTTTTTCCTCTCCACTGACACTTAATACATGCTGTAAATGAGTCAATGCAATCAGCTGGTTTTCCTTTGATAGAAAACAACTATATTATCTTTTTGAATTGTCTCTGTAAAATGCCTTGAGATGACGTGTATAAATAAACTGAATTGAAGGAAAGATTTGGTTCATTTTCAAATAAAAGAATGATTCTGCTGTTGTAAACATGACCAGTGTTTTTAAAGTCATCTGGATTATGTAAACACTCCCTTTTACTTTGTCAGTTCTCATCCTCCCCTCGTCTGAATCATTTTAGAAACAAGTCGAATGACGTAGTCCTTGGTAAAACGTCAGGCAGATTATCTGGAGTTAATCCCTTATGTCTACACTTTGCAATCACCACATGTGTAAAGAATTTGCTTGTGAGCAACAGCATATTTGCTTTTGGTTGTCTGAATCAAAAACAAGAATCAATTAACAATCTGTTAAAAACCTCATCAGTGCCACTATGTTATCCTGAGTTATTGAGTGATCTTACTCCTGCTGTGATGTTTATTCTCAGCAGGGTTGCATCTGTTCCGACTTGATGCAAGGCTCAATACCAGTCATGAATATAAATAGAGGTGCAGGCACTTCATTGTGTAAGTGAGGAGTATCTCTGATAAAGAGAGTTTTTTCTCTTTGTATTTAAAGGTGTAGGACATCAGATGTGTGCATTAAATAGGTTCAGTTATCTTACATCTGGGATTTTTTTATTTTATTATTAAACCAGTAGTCTGCTTTCATTATAGGATACTTTTTTTTCTCTATAAAGTCAAACAAATCCAATTTCATTTAATACCTGAAGATATTCTGACTTTAAAACTGAAAGTGTTTTATTTAGAGTTTTATTAAGCTGCTTTCTCAGTAGCCGATCAGTCAGACGGGGTCTTGCAGTCATCCAGGCGTGACGGTAACAAGACAGACTGGGAGCTGATGAGCCGAGGGAGAAGAGGGTGTTAAGAGTGGCTGGTGGGGGTATATAATTAAGCCTTTAAGTGTTTGGGAAACAGCTAAGAAGCAGGTGGGATATGTTGAGGTGAGACAGGGGGCTGGGAGGCAGTCTGGCACTTTTTGGATACTGCTTCAGGCGCAGAGTGATAAGAACAACATGTTTCTGAGGAGAGGAGGCCCCCAGGCTTGGTAGCAAATGTCCATTCTCTTGAAAATGCACTACTTCACACAAATGGTTTTTCATGTGGATGTATTCTTTCATTTGCAAATGTTTTGGGTATTTTTCTTTTTAAAACAAAGAACCTTGTTCCTTACAGTGTTAATAACCTAATTATAGGCTTTCTTTCATGCAAAACGTTATCAAGGACACTAAAACAGAACTGAATATGATATACAGTATAAAGTTATTCATAGTTTTTAAGCAGATTAATCCATTAGAGAAATGCTCTTAACCATTGACTCTCCATTGTTCAGTTGATTAACAAGGAAGGAAAGTTTAAGAAACGCTACCCTAGTGCTGTACAGCCTGTTGATGCAACAAATCATTTATTGTCATTTAATGTGTGAATTCCTGTTAATTAGAATACAATAACCAACAAAATGTCAATTTAGAATTCTGCTGTTGTGCGCCCTGATAATTCCCAATCAAAACATTTGCAATTTTTTGGCAATATAGTGCATACCTCTAGTTGAGATCAATAAAACATTGATTAAGACTAAAAGGGAATTAAAGATGGCAGGACTTCCATGTATTTCAAGAGAACTTGATGCACTGAGACTTTACAGTGATAGTGATACATGATCAAGATTTCTTTAGCTTAAACAGATGTTGGTAGAAAAAGTTTCAAAAGAATAATAGTTGTACTGTTCAACATTAAAGAAGGGTTGTTTGACAATATATTAGGGCTGAAACAATCGGATTAATTGTGATTAATGAATTATTGAAATAATCAACTAATTTAGTAATTGATTAATCGTTATATGGAATATAGCGACTCTAAAAAATGCCTTTAGCTGAAAGAGCAACCCACTTAGAGCAGAACTTATATCAAAATTGTAAAAAAAAATACATATAAACATTTAATATTTAAGACAAAAAAAAAACTTAGAGCAGTAATCATTTCAAAATTGTAAAAAAACAAAAAATCTGTCAATATGCTCTATCCAGAACTCAAGTGGAAAAGTTTTAATTTCACCTGGTTTAATTTTGTGAAAAACTTCTTTAGGGAACCTTTGGCTATCAGATTATTTAGCAATTAACCTAAAAAATAGACAGACAGGTTCATCAATTTCAAAAGTAATCGTTAGTTGCAGCCCTACAATATATTTCATGCTCCATTGGTAAAAAGAGTAACCGAGAGATGAGATGGAACCTCCATTATTGATCATGCTTTTCTCTCACTACCTCTGAAAGCAGTAAGAGCCTATTGTACTACAGATCCCATTGGATGGAAAAATAACTGGGATGCGTGGGGAAAAGTCTTTACTCATAGGTCTGATAGTCCATTGACCAGTAAAATATCTTATTGGATGCATATGCAACTACACGTCCAACAGACGCAGCTTGTCTTCGCTCATAAGTACATCCTTAGTTTTTCTTACCCCTCTCATTAAACTCTTCGTATGACTGCCAAGTCTGGGTCATGCTCTTAAGCCTGAAACCAAAACTGCAGTTTCGCTACAGATCAGGTGCAGCATCAAAGTCTCAATGGCAGTTAACACTGAAACTAGATAGCGCCCACGGCTCTCCTTCTGACCCGACATGCTGAGGGCCATGCCCTGTGAGACACAGATGATGGATTTACACAAACCAGCATGTACAAACCTCCGACACATATAACCATAAGCTTTGGATTATTGCATTATTTTACCCATTATCTGGAAATAATGAGCTGAAATCATGCTGAGGTGTGTTTGAACTCTAACCTGTCCAGCATGAAAAACAAAAACACTTGCTCAACATATCCAGTATGGATTAAAACCTAAGGCCAGTGACTTAATTATTAACAGATTCAATCTGATCTTAGTCAGTCTAATCTACTCTCTGATAGTAGGGAGAGTTTTCTAACTTTTATGCTGTTTAATAGTGATCACTTACCACCATGCACCAGCTTTATAAAGGATCAAAATGGGTCAAGTTCCTCTTCTAATAAAAAAAAAGCTCTCACCAGGCTCCCTATAACATTTGATGATGTGGCCCACACAGATTCTGGCAGTTTTGACTTTCAGCCAAAAGTTTTATAAAGCTTCCAATAAAGGGTGGGTCAAGGAGATAAAGGGGCCCCCTGTAGGAAAGAACTCTCCAACATTAACAGGCTTTGCCATTGTAATCACTACCAGGTTTGCACTCCAATAGCCTTCCACCTGAGTTGGCTCGACAATGTATACAGTAACAGATGAAAACCATGAGGGAAGAAAGAGAATGTCTGCAGAGGTTCAGATGTTTGAAGGCCAATATTTCATTTTGCACCCATAAACCAGTGTGATATACATCCAGCATTAAAAAAAAAACATCTAAAGGGTTTTCGATGAATCAGCCAGGGTAGGAAAAGAAAAGGGGGGGGGGGTTTTTACTGGTCTGTTTTCTTTGATGCTAATGAGAAGCCCACCTTCGCTCACTTACAGTACAGTGTCTGTTCACTATAAAATATATTCGAGGCAGCTGGCCTCATCTTCAACCCATTACTCATAAAGTAAGACACTTGTAAGGGAATATGAAGCATCATCATCTTACAGTCATCATGATCTTATGACAGCAAATACATCAATTTCTAATACTGAAAAAAAGCGTTTGCAAGAAAACCTACAAATAGAAACTATATGAACTCATTTGCACTAATGAAAACAATTTCATATTTAAACCTAAAGCATGGATTTAAACTGTGAGAGAAGGTTTTTCTGACTTGAGAACAAATCCAGACAGTAATGATGCCTCTTAACTGACCATTTAATTCAGATCTTCTAACATTGTTCAATTTCTTTTCTCAGTGGGATATTTTTGTGTTAATTTCAATCAGTATTTTTATACATTTTTCAAAAGAATCTACTCTTTCTGGGCTTTTTAAAATTTAACATTATAAAATATTGTCTTTTGGACACATTTCCAGCCGCAGTCTAAATTACAGTCACTTTAGCAAATAGATTAGGCTTAAAATTGAATAACAAAATATGCAACATCCAGACTGCAAATATTTTCGAAATACTTTTTAGGGATAAATACTTACAAGCCTAACTTAAGGAGGATTTGAGGAGATAGAATTACAGAGCACTTATACTTCTTTAAAGCCCTCAAATTACCCCTCTTCTGCCTAATTTACACCTTAAGGTGCTTTTAATTTCTTCAGTTTCCCGTACTTAACACCTGGGAGCATTTGTTTGCTTGTAATTAACCTGACATAAATGAACACTTACATGACCAGAGGGCAACATGATTAGGTAGGGATTTAAAAAAGCAACTCCACTAAAAAAAAACACGAGAGAAGCTGGAAAAGTTGTTAATTTTTAGAACCGAAGTGGTAATTTAAAAGGTTATGGGGTTTTCTATTTACAATGGATAATGCTGTGGGGTTAAGCTGATCTCTTCTAATCTCCAATCCCACTAAGTAAATGTATGAAAGTAAAAATATCAACACTCAACTTTTTTTTTTTACTTTGAGCCACATTACAGCTATAATATTCAATGCACTTTTCCATATTCTTCTTTGCAGAATAGCCCAATTTTAAACAGATTCAATTAGAGAAACACTAAAAGCAACTCATTTTATAAGCAAATTTTTTTGTTACTTTTTTTTATAAAAGGCATGTTAATGTATTCATCTTCCAATAAGTTTTCACCAACTTCACTTTCCTTGCTAAGGATTTTTTTCTTTATTTTTTGCCTGTTACAAACAGTGTTCAGTCGACCATTACTCTTACCTCTCTTTGCTAAGAGCCATGCGTGGGGGATCTAAGTTGGGATTCTCCATGGACTCCATTTGTGGACAGCGCAGGAAGTAGTAAAGGGTGTGGAGGGCGTCAGGCGACCAGGACACGGGCTGCTGAGCACGGGCGTGACGGGCAGGGCTCTGTCCTGGGCGCATTGAGCTGAGACGCTGCATGTGGTGCATGGCACGGGATACCAAGTCACCTGGAACCAAGTCAATAAAACAAAATTAAACATTTGGTAAAAATTGTAAACACTGATCCAGTTTCTCAATTCATTTGAAATGGACATGTGCAAATGTTGAGTTGTACATTTGAAAAAAAAAAAAAAAAAAGTCTAATTGGAGTTATGTGTTTATAACTCTGCGGTCTTCCAGTCAAACCGGATTTCCTCCTTTCCTCAACAATTTTCCTGCATGTCTCTAGCGAACTCTGCCATTAGCAGCGTCATTATCAGTAAGCAAAGCCAGACGGCCAGTCTAAAAAAGTCATTCATCTTTAATCACTGAGGGAGTTAATGGCAGTAAAGACAGTGGATCACGGGCTCTAATGAACTGTTCAACTCCTTAGTGCAATAACAATTAGATTCCTGGTAAAAAACATAAAGGTCTTAGTACCAGTCATATAAAAGCCTAGTCATATAAAAACTATGATCTTATCTCAACTAGTTTATTTTATGTTGGGAATGAAATAAAAAAAAACAAGAGAAAGGCTTTACAGTATAAACTCTAGAAAAAGGCTTGTTTAGATCACAGTTGGCTGAAAGGGTGGGGAAAAAAAGAATAGATACTGTTGATATTGTAGGAAGAAACATTTGATTGTATAACAATCATTTAGCATAATTCATATTTAAGCAGATAACTGTCAAAATAGTTCAGTGTCCAAGGATGAAAAGTTCAGCTCTGTGTTTGTCCATGTTTTAGGGTTCTTCTGAATACAGCAATGGGGGAAAGGTCGGGTTAGGCTGATGGAAACAGACCCCACTTAATGCTGAAGGGCCTCCCTTGTGTTAACCAGCACCAAATGTCCCTCCAGGAGGGCTCTGTGGAATTCCTGGACTTTTCCCTTAGTTCAATATTCAAGTCTACATTTGTGCCCAGGGCTAAACTTTGCTCCAACATTCAGAGGGAAATACTGTATATATAAATTGCTTATTCTTTAATAATAGAATATAGCTTAGTTCTAGTGTTAACCAATGTATATTACTATATATATACTCTACAGGAGATGAACTGGATAGGGAAGTTCTAAAACATTTCGTGTCATACTGCTCCATTTTTTTCCTTAATTTGAGCCATTCTGCTGAATAATACCTCATTTTTTATGCATGTTGAGTGTTTATTTCTACGACCACAGCCAGGTATCTTGAGCCGCTCCTCTACAGATATGTCTCTGTCTGTCTGGTCTCAGTGGCTCCAGTCAGGGTTCAAACTTGGTGTTAATCTGTTGTTGTGTATGTGTATAGATGCCAGCCCTGCCCAAATTTGCCCCGTTTCACCCCACCAGAGAGAAGTGACACAAAGAGGCCACTGAGCAGAAGTGAGAGAAAGAGCATGTCTGTACTTTCTTAATGCCTCGCTATAACGACGGCAGCGCATGAACGTGGCCTTGTGCTGCAGGAACAAATGACAGAGTGTTAGTTCATTTGGAGTAGGAAACTTCTCCCTGCTCTGACCAAAACCAACCTCCATCTCTCTGCTCCACTCCCTCCCCTAACATCAGTTTTCACCTTTTTACCTTTCAATCATTTTCTCCTGGATTCTCTCCCATCCAAGCATCTAAGCCCACTGAAAAACATCATATCTCCTGTTTCCAAACTGCAATTCCTGCCTTTTATCAGAGCTAATTCCCAGTTCGGTGTAGCAAACACAAAGGATCAGTTTAGTTCAGATGATGTTTACTTAATGATCTGTTTCCATCAAGGCATTTTAAAATAGTCAGTATTTGAATCCTAGGCTAAACTCAACTCCAGATACTAGTTTTGGGCCAAACGTTTCAGACTCAATAGGCCACACATCGCTAGAAGCTACGAGGCCACATTTTAGTTGACAAGTTTATATGTAGTCCATTTTTGACATACATATTATGCAAATCTGTATGTCAACATTTATTTGTTGAACCCTCTGAAAAGAATTGTTCTTACAAAGAAAGTTGAGCAGGAGGCAACTAAAGCCAGAATTTTTACATATAATTACATTTAAAAATGAAGCAATGACTCAATGAAAGTGAGAAATAAAGGTTTCTCTAAAATGCATTTGCTCACAGTTAACTGGAATTATATTCATTTCAATAATACTTTATCAATCCCTAAGGGAAAATAAATAATTGCACAGAAACATGTTATGAACTAAAGCAGGGTTCTTCTATTCTACTCTTCAAGGCCTGGTATTCTGCAACTCTTATGTGTGTCACTGCTTCAGGACACTTTGTTAAATAATCAAGTGGCTATCAGGACTCTGATAGTGTTTTTACTGTTGAGCCCACAAAAGGTGAAGGGTTAGGAGCTGGCTGTGCTCAGTTTACTGTAAGCCTCTGACTGCATACTGAGGATGTGATTGAGGCATTTTATTCATGTCTGTTGGAACAAGGACACCAAAATGAGAGGCTGGAATAGAAAACCCTGAACACAAGTATCAATAAGTTATATGAAAACAAAAAGAAATTTACCGTACATGCCTAGCTCTCTATGTCAAGTAATAAAATGCAATACAGTTGCAATTTCATTTGATGCGTCTCTGCATATGTATAACATAGTTGTATTGTTATTTTTTTATATAGTTGTCTGAACAAGTTTAAGGAATACATTTTGCTTTAAAACAAATTGTAAACAAACAAAAAAAAAAGTTTCTTGTGAGAATGAGAGAGAATGATAAAGGCAATTATTTTCACTTACTGAGCTCTGAGATGCTGCCCACACAGGTGGCCAGCAGGGACTGCTCCAGCGTCCTGAGCTCCAGTTGGGCGTAAGCATCCTCCCTGGTGTCTACAGTGGTCTGCTGGTTCTCTGTGTAGGGGCTGAACTGGGGTGGGAGTGACAAAACACCTAAAGGCACAAAGACAAAAAAAAAGCAAAACAATGAGCTTCAAAAAGGATTAGCATATAATAAACATTTTTATTTATCTAACGTAACATAATTTAAAATAAATCTTGTGAAAGTTTGACCTTTTAATGCAATTTCATGTGATAGACCATAAAAATACCATCCTGAAGATTGTATTTAGCTTATTTTACTTCTACAATTAAGTCTACTGTGAATTAATGTCTCCTGGAATCACAGTCTGTTAATAGTTTCCACTATGGTGCAAATTAATATCAGTAATGCTAAAAATGCTGACTACTTCAATGGATACCAATACATTAGCAAGACACTATATTGTTTAACCCTGCTTACAGGAAGCCCTCGCTGCAAAGATAAGAGAAAGCATTCCATAAAAATAAAGCCTTGTTCTCATTGGGAAAATACAAAGTATGCAGAGTAGCATTCAGCTCATATAAAGACTAAACAAAGAACCACAACAACCCTGAAACAAAGGGCAATCTAAAAAGAATCCAATGCAACTTTGAATGTTTAACATTAGTGAGATTCCTCTATACTATGGATACAAATTCCTATTCTCTCCCTCATCCTGTGAAGTAACGGCACATCAGAAGTTTAATACTGTATATATATATATATATATATATATATATATATATATATATATATATATATATATATATATATATATATATACACGTTTTTAAGATAAAATGGATGTGCTACAAAACAAGCATGCGAGTTATTTAAAAAAAACTCAAAACACAGTAAGCTTTATCCTGGTCAGTTATGGCATTTCCTATTTGAATTAAACCCCCGAGGGCTCGGGCCCCAACCCAGCTATTGAAGAACATTTAGTTAAAGGAACAGTTATTTAAAGTGAATATGAAAATACAACTGACATTAAACTTTCACAAAAAGGGACATAATGCACTAAACACACCACATTAGCAGTTTTACTCTACGTGACCGCCTGCTGTTAGTCTACAATCAGGCAAAAAGATAACATCCTCTTTGCATGATTTGAAGATGGCATCTTGTTCTCTCACTGCTGTAATAGTCTTACAGATATAAGATAAAAGTAGAAAGCACTGACAAGAAGAAAGGGCTCTTTTTTTTTTTTTTTTTTTGCCTCTCTGCATCCCTCTGCCTCCCTTTCTAGCTTTCATTTCCCCAAGTAGTGTGTAAAAACCAGGCAGTGTTCTTAGCTGTTTTCAATCAAATTGATCAGTAAGTTTAGTGATCAGAGTAAAGGACAACTTTGTTATTGTGGCTTCAGAAACTAATATGTACTTTTCCAAGAAGGAAAAAGATATTAGGATGGGCAGAAGTAGGTAGATTGTTCTCAAATTTTACTCAAATAAATAGTAGTTTTCCAAGAAATTACTCAAGTAAAAGTAAAACATATTTGGTCAAAAGACTACTCAAGTAATGGGTAACTGATAATCATAACATTTTAGTTAATGTTTATAAATGATCCAATCAGACAGAAGTTATGTGCGAAATAATACATGTTAGGACATTAAAGAACTTCCAATACCAATATCTACCATGTACTGTATATTAACCTGATCTGTGACTAGCTCCAGGGACTCACAGTGGACAGAGTAGCTGGGTAGAATTATGATACTTCACAGAAATATATATTTTTTTTAAAAGTACAGTACAATGCTCCTAAAAGTATTTTTCAACAGTTACTTAAGTATGTGTAACTGATTGCATAAAACTATATAACTACTACCCATATCTGGGGATGAGGTATTGCTGAGGATAAGAAGGAGAAGCAGAAAGGTTTCTGATTTATTCCCAAGGTAAAAAGAAAATAAACTATAATCTGAAGCTTCCACTTCTGGATATTATCTTTAAAAGCATGTCATATGTTTGTGATGAATGATAATATAGCACTCCCTAATAAGAGGGATACAGTCTAAAAACTGATACCTTATCTTGCTAATGAGAAATAATAAAAAGGAGGTAACATAAACTTTTATTAGGAAATCTGTGGTAGATTAAAAAAGCAGCAAAGAGAAACTCCTTGAATCTTAAAGTTGACTGAAAAGTTAAAATGGCTATACTATAGTATCACCTGGAACATAGTGTGTTGCAGGACCTTTTCTATTTTTTTTTTCTTTTAATTGTGACCAAGTCTGCCCACCCTTCTTCAACTCATCCATGCTCACCCAAACAACAATAGACATAAACTCTTAATAGGGGTGTGCTTTGATGTGTCGCTGCAGGTGTTTTGGTTATTATGAGGGCTTTAATTTTTACAGGGTGGTAATCACAGGGCTCTCTAACGACACACTGAAAATAAATAGTCAAGAGAGGCAATTGTTCTTTTTTTAAACTATGTTTGAAACTTCCTATCAATGCCTTCTGAAAATGGTGTTTTTTTCCATGAAATTATAGAAAATGGTGCTCAAATAAATAACAGCATATAGAACAGATAAAAAAACAAAACAATTTTTGTACCTCTTAAATACATTTTGTTGTGTATCTGAAGTCTATAAAAGTGCAGACAAGTTGATTTTAGTTTCTCCAGGTCTTATGTTGACACATCAAGTTTCTGTTTGTCAAACTTTGTCAGGCTTTGCAGTTTTCTCCATCCCCTGTAATTTTTTGTTATCCATTACTTCAACAGTATTTGCAGTGGAAACGCAAAAGAAGGTATTGCATTTTCAACTAACAGAGAAGCGGATTGACAGTATATCATTTCAGACATTAAGTCTGTAGTAAAAGTTGAAGGATACTGTACATAAGAAACAATCATATGTAAAAACATCTTCCTCCCATAGTCCGGAGTTGGGTCGCTACGGGGTAGCAGCTTAAGTAGTTTGGCCCAGTGTGTGTGTTTATATAAATATGATAGAACAGCAGCATGCCTCTGCTTATGTAAATGCTGTGTGCTCACTTTTAGCATCTTAATGACATAAATTTACTGTCTGTTTGGAAAAGCAACATTACCCAACCAGTTTTGCAATCTGTTTGGTTGCCTTTGTTGTCCTTGGGAACACATTATCCACATGCATTTGGTGATGATCTTGGCTCTAGGTGTAAAATCTTTAAGCTGTCTCTGCTACTGCTAAAGAACTTACATTTTTCCTTTAGCCTGCAAGGGTAAAATACACTATTGTCATGATTTAAGTTATACATTTTTCTTTGACTTTCTTCTCAGTCTTTGATAGACTTTGACTCTCATAAGTGAGGCTTAATAAAAAAATGATGCTTGATTTATTTATTTTTTTTCCAGTTTCTATATCAGTACATAATGGTATCTCTAATATCAAACTACAAATATGGGCAAATGGGGCATGGTGAAATATTCACCAAAATGGAGCTTCATTTGCAGTCAAAGAGCTTGCACCAAAACAAGATGCTACTACAATAATGATCAACGTGGATCAAAACGTTGCAGTTCCACCCTATAGACCACATGTCCTTTTCGGCTGCTCCCTTATTCAGAGGTTACAACAGCAAATTATATTCAATTTACAGGCTTTGGCAGAGTTTTTACTCCAGATTCCCTGGTGCAACTGGGATATGAACCCAGATCCACGGTATAAAAGTTAAAGAGTAATACCACAGAGCGAGTTTTATATGCAACATTTGAGAACAAATTGAAATAATAAAGGGGAGGATTTTGAAGCATTGTCCATGTCCTTTATACATCACCTTTAAATTATGAGGGTACTTCCCCAACTTTTACTCTGGTTAAACATTCCACCATGTGCAACAACATTTTGGGGACTTATTTAGGCTTGTCTGGCAAACATACCTTTTCTTGCTGAAGGGTTTAGAAGCTCTTTAATATTTTTCAGGTTTTCTCACAGTACAAAAAATCACAGCTGTATGTGATAGACCAACACAAATTAATAAATAATGCTAAAGTGGAAGGAGTTCTGCATGGTTTCCAAAATAAAAGTAGAAATCTAAAAAAGAGTTGGTAAAAATTATATATCTGTCCATCAATAAGCATTTTTGCTTTGCACGATGAAGAAAAGCATGCATGTTAGTTCTTAAACTCTACCAAAGCATTTAAAGCATGTTCAAGCCCTAAAAACACAAACCCAACATACTCGTAGGAGTAAATATACTGAATAGCATCACTCAGTAAAAAATAGTTGAAAAAGCCAACATGCAGTCAATTGAAAAGGCACGTGTATTCTCTGCAGGCTCATCTGCTCTGAATAAAAGAGCTAAGCAATGTAAAGAAAATACTTAACAGAACTAATTAATGCACTGGCAAAGCACAACCTCTGCCAATATAAAGACATCTCCAATTGATTCCTTTAAACTTGTGGTACATGTCAGTTTTTCCCACAGTCCCAACCCTTTACTTGCCTCACCACTCAACCCCAGTCTGCGTCATTTGGATCTTATTTTTGTCTGCAAGCCAACCAGGGCCAGTCCCCACCACCACTAATACTAGCAGCCTCAGCAATCTGCACACCATTTTTTAGTAATTCTGAGCATAACAGAAAGAGGAGTGAGCGAACACTGGATCTGGGAGGTGGTGAGCATGTAGAGCTTTTTGGTAAATGGAATGAGTCATCCAAACATTACACACAAGTTGGAGGGAACATGGGAGGAAAATATTGTACTGGGGTGTGTAAGGAAGAAACAGGAGACAAATGACACGAGGGATTCATTCTTCAGTGGCTATCTTGAATGAATTTCTGGGGTTGACCATGCACATGTCATATGGGGATCTCAGCTGCAAATCACAGCTGAAACTTACCACAGTGCCTGTCGCATTTCCACACACCCATCCAAACGTTTCTCCCTCTAGCCATTCCAACTTCACTTCGACTGACTGGGTTATCACCAGGTCAAATATTTCCTGATTCTGATCCTAATTTTTTTGTTGCTGTTGTTTGTTTAGGCTCATGAGGAAAATAGTTCAATTTATACATTTCTTTTTAAATAGGCTAAATTGTGGCTGAATTCTGGCTGACAAGTTTGACATTTAAAAAAGCACTTTTAAACTAAATCCGGTTTATTAAAT